TACACTCCTCAAAAGTGAAATTGCAACACCAAGAAATAATGCACGTAGCGTCATGCAAATTTCAGGAGCGATAGTAGTGAGATGGATATGCAAATGATTAAATTTGCGCACGCATCTGATCACGTGGTACGCATATTCGGGCTATAAAGGCCAGCAACTTTCCCTTCTCATAAACGGCATCTGAGGTTTTGCGTAGCATTTGCGACTTTCGAAAAAGCGTAGAAAATGCCTCTGAGACGTCGGCGAGCTCAATACCATCAGTTAACGACCGGGGAACGTGACCGTATTATCGAACTCCATGAACTTGGTTTGTCGCTTCGCGCAATAGCAACTCGTGTTGGGCACAACGTGAGTACCATCCAACGTTGTGTCACACGATGGATGCAGGAAGGTCTACGTGCACGCCGAAGAGGAAGTGGTGCGCACAGGTGCACGTCACAGCGAATTGACCGGCGTATTCGCCAGTTGACTATTCGAGACCCTTTCTCCACGGCACGTCCCATCCGAAGCCGGTTGCCTTCAGGAGCAAGTGGATCTGTGTCCACCCAAACCAAACGCAACAAATTGCATGAAATACAGTTACGTGCACAGGTACCAGCAACGGGGGTACCGTTGACCGCTTTACACAGGGCTAGACGCCTGGCGTGGTATCATCGTCATCGTACCTGGACCATTCAATGGCATCGGTTATTGTTCACGAATGAATCTCGTTTCTGTCTGTGGAGAAATGAGGGCCGGCGGCGACCCGGAGAACGCAACGAACCAGCCCATTACGCCGACCGTCACAACGGTCCTACAGCAGGCATCATGGTTTGGGGTGGCATAATGTTTGACAGCAGAACGCCCCTGGTACACATTCACAGCAGTTTGACAGCGGGCCGCTACGTCACACTAGTTGTGTATCCCGTTGTTCTGCCCTTGTTGCAGGACGCACCCAACACAGTATTCCAACAAGACAATGCCAGGCCGCATGTCGCACGGCGAATTCTTAATAGCCTGACTGGATTTGACATCCTTCCCTGGCCGGCAGCCTCTCCAGATCTGAATCCCATAGAACACCTATGGGATCTCATTGGACGTGGCATGAACTGAGGACCAATGGCGCAAACCATCGATAATCTGCATACAGCAGTGGATGTGGCTTGGCAAAGGTTACCTCAGGCAACCATCAATGGAGTCATTGATAGCATGCCTCGCCGGATTGAGGCCTGTATAGCTGCCCGAGGTGGCCACATTAGATATTGAATAAATTGCTTTATAATGATTTTATTAGTCTGTTTTTTTAATCATTTGCATATCCACCTCACTACTATCGCTCCTGAAATTTGCATGACGCTACGTGCATTATTTCTTGGTGTTGCAATTTCACTTTTGAGGAGTGTATATAAGAGTTTTATTTCAATGCTTAAATTATTTTTAATATGTCATATCTAAGAAAATTGTATTATGTAAAATTTGGAGCTCAACAGCTAACTGAAAAAGTAATTGCATTTTTGGCATAACAAGAAATAAAAAATCTTTTATCATTATGCTTGCAGCAGAACTGTAATTTTGTAATACAGCTTGCACAATTTTACACACTTGTTTCATTTACTATTTGTATTCAATAAATGAAACACAACACAACTTACTTTCATGTGAGGAACTGTATTTAAATGAACTTGAGCTTGTTTAAGCACTAAATCAGGAATTAAAGAGCCAATCTCACTGCACAATTTTTTAAAAAGAGATAATGACTTTTTCATTGGATCAGTTTTTTCTAAAAGATAAAATAATGTTAATGAATAATAATTGGGAATTATAAAAGTCACAATTTTAAATAATAAAGTAAATATATACACATATGCCTTTCATTTGAAATAGAATTAATTTGTTTTCTATACATTTTTGAGTAAGTTGCTTTAAATTATTAAACTATGACCAAATTTCACTTGAAAAGGCAAATCATGATTTTAAATGTGAAAACGGTATTTATTTTATCATTTTACTTTTAAGAAATTAACATACCACCTGCACTCAAACGAAATTTTCATAACACTCTGAATCTATTCAAAAGAAATTTTCAAAATCCTATGCCATATCTGTTAAAATAGAGCCGAGAGGGGAAAACTGTTTACATGTTCAGAATCAACACACTTAATAATAAATGTTAATAGTATTATTAAGAAGAATAAAAACTTTGTGATGAGGAAAGTAAAACACAAAAAACAATAAAAAAACTCACAAATATATCATAATAAAATAGTTAAAATAATAATGAAATAAACCAACTGGAGACAGAAACTTGTACATATATTATAATAGGCAGTTATAATAATAATTAAATAAACCAACTGGAGACAACTTGTTGGCACAGCTTTCGTATTAAATAGGCTGACATGCTGAAAGAGGGAAAAAGAAGAAAAAGCATACAAGCTTAGATGGTACACTAGAGCATCATCTTTAGTGCAAAATAAAATTCCAGTGTATTTTATCAGTACCTAACTTAATAACATTATTCTATACAAAACAAAATTATCATATTTAGCACAAGATGATACTCTAGTGTTACATCAAAACTGGTAAGCTATTTCAACAACAGTTTTAATATGTTTGTAAATTTTAATGTTAGTTTCTTTTACAAGTTCAAATAAGATTACAAATTCTAGAAAGCAGCACTAACCATTTTTTGTAAAATCACATTATTTTTGTAAAAATCACATTATTTTTTTTTAAAACTAAATTTTAAATTTAGCAAAGTAAACTAAATTTGGCAAAGTTGATCTAACATATAAGAACTGTTTGCACACTTGAATAATTGCATCAAGCATATTTAAACTCAGTTGAAAGACACAGTCATCAAATCGAGTGTTTGGTTTGTTTAATCTTTATGTAATATTTTCTCAGGTAGTACTCAAACAATTTTCATCTTAGAATCTCACCATTTCAATGATCATGTAAGCATTACAAAGCAGCACACACACTCTGTTTTTAATAGTGAATAAAATGATAAAAATATAGTGATGCTTTGTTTTTGAATATTCCACTATAACACACTTAATAAAATCATAAGAAACAATAATATTTAGATATGGAATATAAATTTTTAAAACATATTTATAAAAAATAATTATAGTAATCTGCTAGAAATCGCTTTCACTATACATTTTTTTCGAATAAAAATTAAATTAATAAAAGTTTGTTTATATTGTTTGTTTATTTTATTCATCTTAAAAACTGCTGATTGGAATAGACATGTAAGTATACTAAAAATAAGTGTGTAACTTACAAATCTATTTTTAAAGGGAAACTAGACTTAAATCATAAAGCCTAATGTTATTTACAGATACATACCATGGTTTTTTTAAAATTACAACTGGCAGATAAGCCTAGTATTATTTAACGAAGTTATGATAAGTCTAATACAGATTTATTTGTGTTTTTTAAAATTTCTAACATTCATCCTGAAAAATATCCAAATGAGAGTTGGATATTAATTGAAAAAAATAATCGCTTCAATTAATAGCAAGAACTATAGCCACTATTGAGATTCCGAACTCACCATGCTTAGCATTATTAGAAAAACACATGATAGTTCTGACAATAATTAAATATAAATATAAAGATATATAAATATAAAATGGCTTATATGAATATAAGATGCAAAAAATTTAAATACTTTAAAAGCCTGAGAATTGCAAATGTAAGAAATAAAAATAAGCATTTTTAAACAGCCTTAAAAACAGTTTTTAAGAATCAAGAAGGTGTTAACATGTAACAGCAACATGGTGCCTAACTAAAGTTCTGTATAAGATTAGAGTGGACTAAAATAATTTCACAAGTGCTCAAAATATATTTTCCCTAATTCCTTTTAACACATTGATGCATGTAAAAAGTTGTATTTTTACCTGCAGTCTTTTCCACATTGCAAAACCGGTTTTTCCATGTTATTAGATAGGGAGATAGTGTATTGGGGAGAATTGCTCAACCACTCGTGGGTTAAGATTTAAAAATGTTGTTTAAAATTTTAGAAGTGCTTCTCATGTAGGAACCTTGGAAATTAAAGATTTTCCGGTTTTTTCTCTTTCAGATGCGAAACATTTTCTTGACTTTTACAGGGGTCTGAAATAATTCCTTGATTTAGATTGCTAGACACCTGTAGCGAATCTGAACAAATGTAAAGCAGGTGATAAGAATAGTAGGAACGCTGGCTAGCGAAAATTCAGTGTAGTAAATAATTAACACTATTACAAGCAACAAGGAAGATTTGAAAAAGAATTTTTTGGCTCTTGAAGAACAAGCAAAAAGAAAAAAGAGGGGGGAGGATTTATATTTTAATGCTGCAAATACAAATATATGTCACCTACTTATAGAGAGATTAGAAGTTATAAGTTTGAAAAAACTTACAGCCTTTACCTACTTCGGATAAGAAATTAACATTAATAATAATATCACATCAGAGGTGTGAAAAAGAATTATTACATTTAATAAATGTTTTTATGGCATAAGAAAATATTTAAGATTATATCAAATTAGTAGGAAACTAAGTTCATGCTTTAAAAATGCCTAATTTAATCTATCCAAACTTATGCTTCGGAAACATGAACACTGAGTTAGAAAGATCAGGAAATACTGGTGACTTTAGAAAGGAAAATCTGTGAAATAACCTAAAAAGAATACAAAACGATGGAATGTAGTATAGAAGAACCAATTAACAACTTTATAAGAGCCATAAAAAAAAACAAATATTGCGAAACTTATTAAAATACAAAGTTTAAAGTGGGCATGACATCATATCTCCTCAGATTGGAAGAAAACTGAAAAGTCAAAAAAGTAATCTTAAGGTGTAAAAAGAAGACCAATGCTACAATATATTGATTGCCTTGCAAGAGATCTTAAAATTAAGAACTAGAAAATAAGAGCATCAGAAAGGTCAAATTGGAAATCTGTTCTTGAGGTGTCCATGATTACCACACCTTAAGCAAAATTAAAATAAAACTGATTTCTTGAGACTGTTTATTTTATATAACACCTGATATTTACCTTCTTGCAATAGTGAAATCATTTGTTGCAGTTCTCTTTTAGCTGAGGAAGATAACAAAAGGTCATCATAAGCATGAAAAAGATTTAGAGAGGCATTGTCATCAGCTGAATAATACCCTAATTTGCGTCCAATTTCACGAATGTTTCTTATGTAGAGAAGTTGAAAGTTTTCCAACTGCATCAAAGCTTCCCCTACAGTTTGGGTGGCTTGTAAAGATTGTTGGAAAAGTGACCAATCATCTATCAGAGATTTTTCTGGTACATTCATATTGCTTTTAAAGAGACGTACAAGGCCCCTATAGCTTTTGGAGTACTCAGATAAAAATGCCTGAAATGCACAATATATTTCACTTTTACAGACTACTTTCAAAACAATGGCAAATATTAAAAACTGCAAACCGATTGCAAGCATTATACAAAAAAAAAAAAAATTTTTTTTTGTTGCTTAGTATTGTGAAACATAATACAAAAATAACTACAATAGATCATTATACGTGTTCAGGGCTCAACATTTTTTTAAAATGTTTCCTCAATCAGAAGATTAATCATTAACTATTAAAGATGTCCTTTCAATTATTGCTTTTCTTGTCAAAAACTAGTTTTAACTTGTTATTCCATGAGAAATAGTGTGCATTAAGGAGAAATTTCTATACACACCTGCCCAAATGTTAAACAATTGGTCGGTTAATTTAAATATTAAACCAATTCTTCATTTTAAAAAAAATACAATAAATTTAATAGACATACAAGAAATTACAAATATGCTTTAAGAAAATTAACTTTTGAAGAGGAAAATTCCATGATAGCAGAACAATTTTCAGAGCAAAGGAATTTTCTGTTTTGGTACTGCTGATAATGTTTGTGAATAACACTAAACCAGCTGCCTGATAGTAACTTTTCAATTCATGATGTGTTGCACATTATATCTATCTGAACAATGTTATCTTTTCCATGCATAACTTTTGATGTTATGAGCTGAAATGAATTATTGAATGATGTGGTTAGATCTTTTATTATTTTAGAAATATGTATTCATGAAGCAACAATTTTAATCAATTCTGATGTAATTCAGAGCAACACGTTTTGCCCATTTTTGTACAAAAGTTGCATAATTTAGGAAATCAGTAAAGCAATAATTTTTTCAAATAGCAAAAATAATTTGCAAATTAATTGGATTGAATGAAGAATTTAATGGAACAAGAACCAGAATCAGTTATATAAAACAGGAACAATATTAGGTATTCAAGGAAATAAAAGCACTATGCTACAAACTAAATATTAGGGGCAGAAACATCACCTGGTTAACAATGTGATACCTATGTTTACCTAAAAAAGGCAAACCACGTGAGAACAATTCATCAGAAATAAAAATGCAACTAAATTTATAAAATAATATACTTGTGAAAGAAAAGTTATTTTTTGGGACATATGTATTGCAATTTTGGGGAAAATGCTGATAAAATCAAAGTCCAACCAACCAACCAAAACCAAATCAATACTTACTTCTAAGGCTCGCAGTAAACTCACATAACTACTACCTTGGGTCAGTTGTTGACACCGATTCTCTGCCTATTAAATTTAAATACTCAATTCAGCAACATAATAACATTTTAAGACTACAATAACTTTTTTTTTAACTTTTAAAACTAAAGAAACTTACATCTTGCATTAAGCAATTTATTTTGCTAAGTGATTCACCAAGTAACCGAACATAGTCCCTCAAATCATCTGATTCCTTAAAAGTAAAGATATCATTACATATAAGTCAAATTTAATTTGTAAGATTTATTTATTAATGAGTTGGGTTTTTAAAGTACAATACAAAGAAAGATTATGTAGTTTGATAGTTACGACACTTAAATATCAATTTTAAAAATATTAAACTATGTTAATTTTACCATATTTAGTGTTTTTAGTGAGGAAATAAGTTGCTGTTCTTCTAAGTAATCATATTTCTCAATGTGTTGTCGATAAGGAGAATAAATAGTCTTCACAAGAAGTGTGACATGGGCATCACAAAGAAGTTCTAGAAATAAAAATAGTAGTTTGTTTAAAAAAAAAAATTTCACTTAATAGAAATTAAAAAGTTATTGATTCATATTTTATAATTATTTTCAATATCAAAATTAAACAAGCTCAACAGAACAATTATAAACATAATAACAATTATAAATATAAAAAACAATGACTTTTCCTTCTTTATCAAGTAATAATTTTAAAAAGGAAAAAAAATGTTAAACAAAATAAACTACTAAAATTTCATGCAATTAAATAAATTCACTGAATATTTTCAAAAGTATAAGTTCTTTTAGGAAAAATCTACACTCAATTACTGTCAGTAGTTTTGGGTTACAAAAATTTAGATACTACTGTACATTTATTAATTTGTATATTTTTTACAATTCAATTTCTTTTCTTATTTAATTCAGATTTTAGAATTTTTTTTCATATAGAGTGCATAAAAACAAAGATATATTTTCACAATTCTAAAAAAGCTGTTATTGCGTTATAATTTTTGTGTGAAAAAAAATTTAAAAAAATAAAGAAATAAATACTAAAATAATATTAGAACCATTTTCACACAGTAGAAAAAGAATATCTCAAATTTTTGCAGCAAAAAACTAGAAAAAACTTAAGGATTACAGTTTAATGAAAGATTGAACCTAGTTTTGTACATTGTAAGTTTTAAAAGCTTTTATTAAGTAGAATAAATATGATCATTAGTTTATTCATAGAAATTAAATAAAGATTTTTAAAAAAATCTTCGTTATTTAAATTCTAAAAGGAAAGAGGTAATACTTTTCTTTCCTTATGTTATGTTTATAAACTAATTTGGCTTCAAAACTTTTAAAGAACTTTTATGTACAAAAACATTTTTTTAAACAAATTTTGGTTACAAAATTAAATAATTTACATACACAATTATTTATTTATAGAATTAAAAACTAAAATAATTACATTAATCACACTGAGAAAATAATAACAAATAAAAACTTAAATATTTTCAAACAAAATTTAGTGAGAATTAAAATTTATTATTATTGCAACCAATATTTATTAACCGACGGTTCTGCACATATAAAGTCATATTTTAACATGCAGTTTTCTCTGCATATCAACAACAGTTTTTCTATGTTATGAGATAGGGAATCAGTATATTGGGGAAAACCTTCTCCAGTGGGTTAAAATACAAATTAATGTGTCAAAAAAGAAAAAATAATTATGAATAAGTTAAGTACTGATGCTGACATTCAAAATAAGTCAAAACTTTAAGATAAACCTAGAAGGAGACTATTTAAAAGAAATGCAGAAAACAGCACAGTCAATGAAAAAAAAGCACCTAAACTAGAGAAAAAATATGTTACATTCTTAATTATATCACTTTTATAATGATTTATACACTTTCCTTAAACTTACATTTATAACGGATAAAGATTAACAATAATATAACTTACTTGAATCATTCGCGTGAATGGAGATTTCTAAGCTTTTGACTAATCTATCAGTGATCTAAAAAAAAATGTTAGTTTATTTTAAAAAGAAGACTGAAAGAAAAATGAAATAATTATTTTCCCTTTTCAAGCTATTTTTACTTTTACAAATAACAGTACCAAGTTAAGATTGTTAAGCCACGCAATTTCAATTATTGGAAAAGTAAATTTAATATTTGACCCTAACTACATTTAAACAAAAGAATATATATGGAAAATTTATAAAGACAACATAAGTCCTTTGAGTTAATGATGTCTTTTTAGAACAGGTCCTAAAAAGAGATACTTGACACTCATCAGTTAATTTATTAAAAACCCATTATTTCGATCACAGAAAAATAATTTTTAAAAACCTTTAACACTGAAATTTTCTCATTTAATACATTTTTCATTTATAAAAAATAGTTTTTCAGATGATGATATCAAGAAAAGAAATCAAATATTTTTTTTGCAGGCAAATTCTCTCTATAGCTATAATAATCATTAAATTAATTATTAATGGAGTATGAAAACTAAAAAGAATATCACTAAATAAAGGATTTAGTTTCCATAATTATTACCTGTTTCAATTCAATCAAATACTGAAGTGGATTTGATTGTAGTTTCATACCAGCATCAATGCAAAATGACAGGGAAGGCTCCAAATTAGTTAGCACATCGACAAATAATTCAGACAATACCTCAACTGCTGGCATATCTGGCAATAGCTGTTGACAACATGTCATCTATATCGCAAAAGATAATATATAATTTACCTTTAAATGTATCAGACTAAAGTCAAAAGTTAAATTAATCACATAACATTTTGTTTATTAAAAGATTTAAATATGGATAACTATTTACATATTTAAGTCTTTTTTTATTATAAATTATCACAAAACACTATAATTCACTACATATTCTTTTATAGACTATGATAGCTTTTACTAAACTTTTGAATAAATTGTAATCTATTCTGAATAGTAATTATTTAAAAAAAATTAATTGAATTTAATAATATTTAAAAGTTATGAAACTTAAGTAAATCTACATTATATTATTTTATGATTAAGTCAGGAAAAAAGGCCTATTACTAGAAAAAATGTATTAAAAGCTAGAATTATGAAATGGCATAATAAACTTAATATTTATATAAATTAAAATAAAAGCAATTAATTAAAATATATACAGTTGAAGGTTATGCATATTCTAAACGCATCTTATGCATCTAAGGAAAAAAATTTAAAATTATTTTTGGTTCACAATGGTATTCTTTTCAAGGAAAATTTCAACTTAAGTGCAGCCTAAACTTTCACTTATAAATATAAATTATCTTTTTTATCAGAAATAATTTTTTTTATTCAATATTATTGTACGTATAGAGGTAGTTGGATTTTTCATTCAACAGAAAATATTTGTCAAATAAATGAAGGATTGATAGATGAAAATTGAACATTATAATCTATAAATAAAAGTAACATTAGAGAATAGTTTTTTTCCAATTCTAAAAGTAGTTATATATCTAAAAAGGAATTCAAAGCGAGGAATCATTACGAAGTTTTTGATACAAACATATATTTTGATTTGAATAAACCTTAGGTAAATATAACAATGATGTACTTTTACAATAAATAATTGTATTTAAAGTAATCTTTATTCAACCATCGTCGACCAATTTTCACAGTGAGATTTTTTCCGGTTTAGGAAGAAAAAAAATTATATTTTTCTTTTTCACTTTTTATTTACAGAAACGTAACATTTAAATTTTTTTTTACTGTAAGAATCCTATTAATTGTCCTTTAATTTTATAATTATTGATTTAGAAATGAATAGCCATACTAAGCAAATTAAATGAATAATATGCTAATTATAACAATTAATTGTAAAATGTTTAATAATTGCTAAGCATTTCTTTTTTAAAAATACTATTGTTTGTATTCAACTTGTTATCTTAAGTTTTCTACTCTAAAGATTTTTTTAAAGTTTATATTAATTTTCAAGTAAGCAACATTTATTTACTTTTTATTAAACAATTTTTTTTTAGATATATATATTTGAGAGAATATAATAGCATAATTAATATACTTTAACTTAAGTTATGTCATACATTAAATATCAATTACCCATTTTTAAAAATTTAAATAATTTTTCGAAACATTTCAAAAATATAAATAAAAACTAGATAAATCAAAACAAATATAAAAACTATCAAAAATGAGCTACGAATTTGTATAGTTGTTGTACAACTTATGCATTTAAAAGCATAACAGTTTAACTGATAAATTTTAAATACATGTATTTGAATGTCTGATTTTTCATGGAAAGCGTTCTTCTTTTTTTTTTGGAAACTTTAAACATAAAGTTTTACATAAAACATTAATAAACCAACAACTAGGAAAATTTTTTCTAACCAACCACATAAGTAAGTAATGTCAAGTAAATAAAGGCACCACACTAAAAGAAAATTTGCAAAATTTAAACGTGAAATGATCACCTGTGAATGCCAAGTAGACAATAATAGATCATGGAAATTATTTAACCAATCGATGATTGTCTCATCTGGATCAGAGTCCACAATTTGTTTCCATTGTTGCGTCAATTGATTCTGAAATTTGAAAATTCTCAACATAAAATAAATGTTGTCATTTGTTTATCTACACATTAACACAGTTAAACATTTTCAGAGTAAAGTATCTTTAATAAACTTTTTATTTGCAGAATGATTTATCTCAATTTTGATTCATCTGACATTAAAATATAGAAGGTCTGTATTAGTAATTATTGTTTAATATTGTATTAGTTTATAAATTAGATGGTACATAAACCTTACAAACAACATTTAAGGGGTTTTGCGACAAAAATGCTAACGATTATAATACTTTTTCATGCAATTTGCAGATGCATTGAGGGTAATTAAATTTAAAAGTTTTAAAATAATACAGACAATGTCTGACCTCTGTCCTTGCTTGACCCTGGTATTATAACCAACTTTTTGTAATATATATAATTTTCAGGTGAAAGCTTTTTACTAAACCTTTAAGAGCACAAAAGCGAATGTGAATAAAAATTATTAATAAATATTATTAATAATAAAAATTATTAATAAATGTGAATAAAAATTAAATCATAAAGAATATATATATTTAAGTTCAAAATGTAGAGAAAACAAGGAAAAAATTACGAAACAATGAAAAAAGGGGGGGGAAGAAAAATAATAAATAATAATAAAATAATATATATTATATTATATCAAGTGATAAACAGAAAAAATATTTCCACAGGAGTTTTTAACCTGTATTAGCTGACATCTAAAACTAATGGCAAGAACGACCTCATAATACAATAAGCTATTTTAAAACTAATATTTAGTAAATTTTAATTACAAAAATTTTCAATTTTAATTTGAGAAAAATAATTTTGTAAACAGTTAATTTAGCAGGAATGTTAAACATAAAATAAAAAAAACTACTTCACATGAATAAATATAACAGTAACTTAGAACAACAAAAATGAAGCAACAGATTTCCGTTTCACGATGCGTTTAACAAAAACAAAAAACTCCTTCAAAAAGAACTTTTTATTAGCTGAGAAGCATTGTTCTCCAAGTATACATGTTATAAACTCCTGTTTCATAACATACTTAAATAAAGCCATGCTTACTTTTTGATAATTATGATAATGTCTTTGAAGTGTGCTTAGTCTTTTGAGATCTTTAAATATCTTCATGTACATTAAACTGACATCAGTCACTTGATGAAAAAGACAAAATTTAAAACATAGTAAGTAATGCATTTATGCTTAAAAAATTTCGATTTTAAAAAGCTTAGATAAGAAACTATAAAACTAATATGTTTAAGAACATGAATTTTAAAGTTTTGAATTAAAAAATGAATATATTTTATAAATTTCTAAATTTTTGATTAAAAAAACTATAAAACTAATATGTTTAAGAACATGAATTTTAAAGTTTTGAATTAAGAAATGAATACATTTTATAAATTTCTAAATTTTTGACTAAAAAAAATTAAATATTTCTTAAAAAGGTAGCATTGAACAAAAAAAAACAAACAAAAAAATATACAGGATATCTTTTTATAGTTTAGAAATGCTAATTTCCAAAAAAAATGAATAAATGAAAATAAATACTATAAACTTGCATGCCAATAAAAATTTCAAATCTTGAAATAAAAACTTAAGTTTCCTTTCCAGAAGTTGATGTAACTTAAAAAATGAAAAATATATGAAACAGTCATAATTTAAATCAAGATACATTGCAAAACTTTGACAAAAAATAAAAGGGTAAAAAAATTTCTAATGAAAATTTAAAAATAAAGAAATTTGTTTAAATTAATGCACTTTGGCTTTAATAAATATGCACTGGATCATGTTTATAATAAGATTATAGGGATGGCTGCTATTTCATAAAATCAGGGTGATCATTATACCTTAATCAGAAAAATTTATGAGCAAAAATGAACTAGAAATGTAATACTTTATAATGAATCAGCTATAATACGCAATAATGGACTATACAATAGCTTCAACTTTAAAGCCACATACATTAAATAGAATTTTATTAAAATAGATACTGTTCTTATTTATTAAAAAACCAAAAAAAAATTTAACACACAAACTTAGAATAGTTAAACATTTTTTTGCAAATTTTCTACTTAAATTTTCAAAATTTGCCTAGCTTTGAGTAGAAGACCAGACTATATTTGTTTTCTTACACTTTTACAAAGGTTTAGAATTAGGTTTTAATCATTGAAAGCTTTCTAAAATACAACACTAAATTTTAGTATTGCAATTCAGAAAGCTTTCATTTTTAATGTTGCATGAAATGGACGTAACCATAAAAATGAAGAGCAGTTGTATGAGTCATTGCTTCTCTTCCTTTCTTCTCTACAAATGATTTGAGATAAAAGGTTTGTCCTTTCAAATATTAAGATACTTTTCCAGAAAATTTCAATAAAATATTACTCAAGGATTTTCAAAAAATTCGTTGTTAATTGCCTGAAATAACAATTTTAGGTAACCAAACGGCTTTTAAACATTAAACAACCATTTATCAAAAAAAAATTTTAACAGAAGATCATGCAAATTTAGGTCTTGCAATAAATAAGTTGGACTGTACTTATACATTTCTTATAAAATAAAATATAATATGTATTACCAATTGATTGACTGTTAAATGCTGCAATAAAATAAAATATTATAAGTATTACCAATTGATTGATTATTGAAAGCTGAAATAAAATAAAATATTATAAGTATTACCAATTGATTGACTATTAAATGCTGCAATAAGTCTTGGACTTATCATGGCTTCTAACCTATCTTTTAAGCTTTCAAGTCGTAGACAGCGTTCCCGATAGTCTGGAACATCAGCTAATATTTCCTATAATATAAAACAGAATTTAATAGCAATAACACAAAAAAGAACATAATAAACACTGCACAAAATGTAGTAAAATTAAACAAAACCATAATATATTGTTTCAACATTTATATTACAATATTTATTGTTGGGAGAAAAAATACATAACTACGCACTCAAATGAGAAAATTAATTATGACACTTATAATTTTCCTACTTTCCGCTTATTATTTAAGCATAGTAAAAAAGCAACTAAAAGCAGTAAAAAAAATCAGGATGTAGAGTGGATCCAAAAGTGACAATATACCTTTAATTTTTAACACAAAATAATATTGTTTTCATTGAGCTAGCATAAAGGAAAAAATAGTTATTGGTATAAAAAAAATGAATCTAAAATCATAAAAACTGAACAGGCCTTCCAAACCCAGATTATTTTTTCCTATATCTTTTCACTAAAACACGTCAAGTACCCTATTCCAAAGATTACCATTGTGACCCAATGGTAACAAACAGAGCTGAGTTGTACCAAACAGCTCTTCAAATTGTTTTTGCACAAAAAAAAGAGAAAGTTTTTTCGGCAAAGTTTCTGTGTAAGAATGGAGGAAATTTTTGAACACTGTTGACAAACCTTTTTTAATCTTTGCAAGTTGGATTTTCGAAAATTGTTACTTTCATGTTCATTATTTAAACTGGGATATTGTTTTGGTATGACTAAAAATTTAATTAAGTTTCAATTTTTTTTAAAAAAATAGACTCATAAATGAAATTTGATATTCAAAACAAAGCCATTTTAACACTCACACACATATATATATATGCTGAAATCAATATATTTTGTTGAGACTAAAATTATCTTGAATCATAAATTAAGTTACTTACAAGTTACAGAAATTAAACTTTAATATTATTTTAAAAAAAAGTTTAAGCATAAGGTTTTTAAGATAAGTAACAATTTTTAGCTGTTAAGGTGAAGAACAATAAAAGTTTCAGATTAATATTTGCTTCGAAAATAGTAGTATGCATCAGGAGTGCTATTGAAAGAACATTAATTTCACTCTACACAAATTTGCTATGATTTAAACTACAAGAGTGTATTGTACTGAATTAGAACTAACACTGCAAAATAATTAACTTGACAAAATAGTGAAACAAACAAAGAATAAAAAATACTAATTTATTGATAAATAACTTGTTGTTTACTCTGTCTCAACTCATTTATCTTAAAAAGTGTTACTTACCAATCTGTTTTGCTAAGATTTAAACTACAAGAGTGTATTCTACTAAATTAGAACTTAACAATATCACAGCAAAATAATTAACTTGACAAAATAGTGAAACAAAGAATAAAAAATACTAATTTTGTTAATAATTAATTCATCATTTACTCATTTATCAATAAATTTATCTTCAAAAGTGTTACTTACCAAACTGTTCTGCATGCCTATTAGTTTTGTTGCAATCTAAAATATAAAAGATTAAAGTTAAACAAATTGAATATACTATTGATAGTTTGATAATTGAATTAGAAAATTGTTATATACTTCATTAATATCTCCATTAGAAAATACAACTTCAACATCAGCTGATAAAGTAGTCCAATTATCAGCTTCCTACAAAGAACATAACTAATAGGATAAGAAAAAAAATGCAAAAAGTTAGAAAATAATTATACTTCATACAAGGTGGTCAAAATCCAATATTGATTTTCGTAGAAAAAGCAACTGGTCTTCTGACCAATAAACGCAAGATATAATGGCTCATAGAAAATATCAATAATCTGCTGTTTTAAAGTTTAGCACTCAAGTATGCTTATATAAATTTAAACTCACTTTTTTCCCCAATAAATAACTGATATAGCAAATTTTAATTTTTTAGCAAATCCAAAGCAGAATGGAGCAAACCATACATTTCAATCTGCTTCAGATTTTACATTATTGATATCTTAAATGAGTCCTCTTTGAGATGTTCTGTATAATTTCCATTAAGATAAATTTATAAATATTTACTTAAACGTATACATTTCAAAACAATACAGATATTTTATACTGAATAAGAAAATTAATGCAGCTAACTCACCCTGAGTGCTTTACTGGCCTCTTGCATACAAGACTTGATGTGATCAATTTTTAATAATATCTGCATTGACTGTGATGCATCATGCTCTACCTGAAATTACAGAAACATGTTTAAGAAGAAGGTACAATGCAATGAAGTTTTTTATTCTTTTTTGCAGCATTTAGCAACAACATTGATTGAATTATTTTTTTTTTTTTTTATCTAAAGTTTTTCTCTCCCTAGGATCATCTCAATATCAATTTTTAAAGTAGAAATTCTGATAAACTTTTTTTTTTATTCATGTTTCAAAATGGTGACCATTTTTTTTCTTCCTTGAAAATATGGCAAAACAAGGAAACTGAAAATTTTAGCTTTTAAGAAATACAATAGCTGGTAACAAAGTAAAGATAAAAAATGATTTTTCTTTCATTCTGTCCCTTTTCTCTATACTGAATTGTCAATTTTTATTTTTTGTAGCAATTACTCATTCTTCTATTCATTTTTAATATTAATTATGGACAATTATATAATTTTTCCCCTTTTTATTTTACTCTTTTTTTTATGAGCAGCAGCTATTCTAATAGACCTTTTTTATCTGTGTTTTCACTACAATACAGCATTTGTCCTGAAAATACATTATTATAGAAGATCTGCATGTATTAAATAAATAAAGCATATGGTAAAGAAAGAATTAATGATGAACGATTTTAAAGATAATATAATATTGAAATGAATTTGTATAAATATTACTATATATTTCAATAACACTAACCATAATAGTTAATTAAATTTATAAAATGTAATTAAACATAAACAAAACTTCTTTAAGTATATTTGGAAAAAAAATCAGTACCTTTCAAAATATTTTATTGCAGAGATTCCTCAATTCAACTTAATTACTTTGATTTGAAACATGTTTAGAGATGTTTTAAAAACAACGGAAGTGTTTAAAAAACAATTGTTTGAAAAAGAAGTTTATGCTAAGCATAATAAAGAAAAATTTATAAAACAGTTGAACTTTCAAATGTTAATGTTGAAATAAAGTACTGTCTTTCTCATACATTAAAAAAGAAAAATTATAAGCATTCTATGTTATTACTGAAAAGTAAAGCTAAATGTTTGATATCAGAGAAAATGTGAGTTCCTTTTTTTCCTATTGGAGGGGTGCAAATGCAGCAAGATAATATGATCTCAAAATTATAGTTTATCAATCTATAGTTAATGCAATAGAATTTATTAAAAATTTCTTTTTTCAAAATCATAATAAAATAAAAACAACTGATTAATGTAGTTAAAAGAATATGGTTAAAAATTAAACATTTGTAATTATGAGAAAGCTAAAAATTCAAAAAAAAAAAATTTTTTTCTTAGGTTTTTTCATCACTAGCTATTTAATTACTTTTTTTATCAGTGTTATTTGGCTTGGACCTTTCATTTATTTTGCTATTATCTTTATAAACAACTAGGAGGCTTCGCCCCCTGCTCGCTGGCGCTCGCCAACTTCAGATCTGAAATGAACTGCTTTTGCAGTTCATTTCAGATTGCTTCGCAATCCAATGCTCGCTAATTGAATACGTTCTTAACGTCTAGCTTTTCTATACTTTTTTGAATGCTGAAGTTCCGAAAACTTTTCACTGTAGAAAATTCTAAACCTGTACATTTCAATATTAATTTGAAATTGCAAACAGTTCACATATTTTTCTTAATCACACTATTCTAAATTTCAGTTGTTGAGAAAAGTAACTGTTGTAAGTTTTGTTTTAAAGTCTTTCCCACCAGAGGGCTAAAGCCATGTGTTGTAAAACAATATGAAATAGTAGTCTGCCACTGAACGCCGGATGTAAAGCATCGGCTTTGATGAAGATAATTTTGTATTTTTAATTCTCTGAAGGGCGCCACCTTAATAATATGGAATTTGTAAAATAAATGTATATATTTTTGATTGTTGATGAAGCCCATCATTTTGTGTTTTCATCAGTGTTCAGAAGCAGAACAACTATAAGTTTTTTATTTTATCACAAAAATATAAAATGTATAAAAAACAAAGAAAAGAGTAAGAAAATGAGTATAGTCATAGAAAAAGTTAAAATTATAATATAGTATTTGTCAGTTAAAATAAAACTTTTTGTTTAAGTCATTGCTAACAATTCAAATTTCTCCGAGGCAATTCTAAAGTATAAATTAAGGTAGTATTGTTAAGTTGAAACACAATATTTTTAGTTTTGATGTCAACAATACAATTCAATTTTTCACAAAAACGATTGTTTCCATTGTTAAATTCAATGTCAACAATTCAAATTTTTCTGAGGCAACTCTTAACCTCTAAATATTATTTTTTTTATGTACACATTTCTAAATGTCAGTATTCAACCACAAAACAACTTAAAGTCCTCAAATTTAGCATGAAGTTGTAAAATGTAATGAAAGAGGGTCATAGCAATAATGAAAGTAGAAGTAAAGTTAGTACTGTAAAATTAAAACAATATTTTTAATCAATGAGCCAAGTTCTTCAAGAAGCAGTTGTAGAAGTAGGTTGTTTATTTAAAACTTTTTATAGAATTTCTTTAAAAACACAATTGTTAATTTGGGCATTTGGCGATACAACACTTATAGAATTGAAGGATTTGTTACGGCAAACACTCAGGTATCATAATTTTGATCTAGTTGCGCTTCTATGTCATTTTGATTTATGTTGCTAAGTTAACTTTCAAAAAATTCTATGGCTGGCAACAGCATTTTTATTTTTTAAGTTGTTCATTTTTATTTCTTTTAGAGATCGTTCTTTTTTTAGCGAAATGCTTTTTTAACTAACAGAATTCTATGCCGACTGTTTTCTCTATAAATGAAGAAAATAAAGTAAATATTTAAGCTTTGTGAAAAGAATCTTATTTAGTTGTACAAAGTATTTCAGCCAAAATTTGGGAGCCACGTAAGAGAATTATATATATTAGATCAGAAACACATCATTAAAAGGCAGAATGCATTGGGTTTTTCAAAACGTAAACAAAACAAAGCAAACGTTGCCACCGGCAGAAAAGAAATACAGCCAAAATTTGGGAGCCACGTAAGAGAATTATATATATTAGATGATTATTTAGTGTTTCTTTAATCTTCATTACTCTTTTATAACTGACAACTCTGATAAACTTTTACACACATTTTTACAATGTTGCCTTGCATTTTTCAAAAAATATGGTACAGTTTTGCTCACATGACACAACTATCCAAATTTTCTATCTAACTAAAGTGCATTGATTTTAATGCATTCTAATAGGCAAACCTATACTGTTTCATGAATTTTTTGGTCTTTGCTAATTGAAAAAAATTCTTTATACCTTCATTACGTCTCCTTTAGCATTATTCATTTGCTCCTTTAGTTGTTTTGCATCATTTCGCATGATTTCTATTTCTCTGGTAATTCTAAAAATGTATACATAAATAAATTAGAAATTCCTAAGTAAAATCTAGTGCACAGTTAAAGCAAAATTAAGATAAATTTATATCAGGGCTGGAAAAAGCAGTGTTTCTAAGAAAAATGCTGAATGGTTAATTCTAGTTCTGTTATTCAAAATAAAAGATGAAGTATGTACCCACATTCATTATTTAATAAAAGTACAAAAGAATTTTCCCATTTTATCATTCAGTCAGCTGGCTGTGCAGCAAGCTCAGCAGCTATTGAATGTAGGTTTTCTATATGTTGACTTGTTTGGTTGAAACTGTTAAATATTTTGGGTCCCGAAAAAGCTTGTTGAAGATTAAAGACATTTAATGAGTGAAGCAGAATTAGAAGAGTCTATTACAGAACTTTGAACTAAATGTGGCTTTCATTTTATTTTTACTTTGTCAAAATATCATTAATTAATGTAAATTACAGAATTTTCTTATAAAATTAATATTATGCTATATCATTCAGAATAAAATATTTTAGTAAGCTACAAAAAGTGTTCCATTTCTGCTATGTTAAAATATTTTTGACTCTTTACAATTTCCATAAAATAAAAATTTAAAAAATGTATAAGCAATGTCTTGCTCTACTTTTTAGCATGTAATCAAGATTATTTGCTTAATGATAAAACAGTTTGAGAAAAATATTTAAAAATGTCTGATAATAATAACTGTAGTAATAACTGGAAGAAAAAAAAGGTTGGCAAACCGATTCCTTCTTTGTCATTTCTTAAAAAAACCCACCAAAATATGGGTTTTATTAGTTTTTTTTTTGGGGGGGGAGAGCAATTGGGTGGGTTGACTGTCCTAACCTCAAAAACAAAATTATTTGCTTAAAACATTAATTATTTTTAATCAAAATATTACTTCCACAATGAAAAACTACTTTTTAAATTTATACGATTGTTTATTGGTAAGTTTGATCTCTTAATTATCTAATAGAGTAAAGAATAAAGAAGATATATAAATACTTAACACATGGTTTCATGAACATAAATAAAATGAAAGTGAATTTATTTATTTAAACATGAATTCAAGCCTAAGGGTAATGCTAACTTTTATAATAGTGGGACCATCATAAGTACCACCACAGATTTTGGAAGCCTTTTCTTTAAAAAATAAAAAATATTTACCTAGGTATATTTTGATTAACTTGTTCAGCAGTTTTTTCAAGGGAAATGTTGACCTCCTAAAAATAAAAATTACTAATTTACAGTCATTTTTTTTTTAAAAAAAAAGAAGAAAAAAAAGAAAGATGAAAATCTTTATTCAAAACTTGGATTATTTCAATACTGTTTAACATTCTTAAACACAAGATTAAGGATTATTTGAGTAATAGAGAAATATTCTTTTAAAATTGAGAGTACTTTTATAAGAGCTATTAAATTTATAATTTTGGTCACAAACAGCAATGCCAAAAACTACATATTAATTTCGTGAAAGCAACATTACGTTAAGAAAAATTTAACAGAATATCAGCAATTTAATAGAAAAATATATTGGTCATTAATTAAAACAATAATTATCTAATTGATATTTCTCAGCTCTGTAATAGTAACATTTATTTTTTTAAAAAATTTATTATTTAAAGACTAAAGAAAATAAATTAGTATTTCTTACAGCAAGCTCTTTAACATCAAGCAAATTGAAGGTTTTAAAAATAACCAATGAATTCTAATTATTAGATAAAATTCTGACATATTAAGGCTGTTACAGAAACTACTATAAAGAAATACATATGGAATTTTAAAAAAGAGCGAAATTATTACTTTACTTACTTGTATAAAAGATTGTAATTTGGCAACAATTGTTGTAGCAAATTCCTAAAATAATACAATGACAAAACATTTTCAACACCACAGATAATAAATAAATTAATCAAGAAATTTCATTACATATATAATAAACACAATCAAATTTTGATATTTTATTAATAATTCTACAGAATATAGAATTCATATGTAGGAGAGAGCACTTTTTTACATTTTATTTTATTTAACTTATCACTTTATTCAACACAAACATATGAATTAAGTTACAATAGATTCCTTAATTTCATGTTTTTTTAAAATTAAAGCATTTCTCACTATATGATTAATCTTGAAAAAATATCACAATTGTTCATTTTTTTTAACAACATACGCACAAATAAACCTCTTTTTAAAGCATATAAAATAAATTTTATGACTAATAAATAGAAGTTGATTGAGTAAAAATTATATTACATAAAAAAAAAAATAATGAGTATAACAAAACTTGCAGTTATTTGACAAACACAGATTTTGTGCATTTTTATTATACAATAAGAAAACATTTAATTATAATATTAAATGTATTGTAGTAAAAAGTGATAGAAATAAGTTTACAAATAAACTAGCGTGTAGTATTAGCATACTATCAAATAATCAGTAGTATCAAATAATAACTATTAGTTCATTGAATGACTGCCAATTTTAGAAAATAATTAACGCTTTCTTTTAATGACTAACATCATCTATAAATAAAAACCATATACATAGACAAATGTTTATGTTGATAAAAACTTTGAATGTAAAAAAATACATAATTTAACAAAAATTACATAATAAGTAATCGTTTTTAATTCTATGAATGAAAGTTTGATAAGTCTCACAATTAAAATTTGAAAATATTAATGGGGAAAGCTACCTCTTTATTTTCTCTGGCTTCATGGCATTGAAAAGTTTTGTTAATCCATTCTTTTGGATCAAAATCATCTTTAGAAAAAGTTGAAAGATCCTGAAAATACAGTTTTAAAACATTTAACAATCTAAAAACATCTTATAAACAAAAATTAGTATTATAAATAAAAAAGAAACACTTTAAAATTATTTTAAACCCAAAGAACAAAACAAAGAAAAACAAATGCCCAGATTGTCTTCTTTTATTTATTTTAGGTTAAATAAATACTCTTTTGTTAATAAAAAATATTACTTTATGGAGATTAAAAATATTAATGAGGTGTAAATGTAACATTTCCGTATTTATATAAAATTTTTATAATTAAATAAGAATTAAATTTAAATTAAAAGAAAAAATTATATTAATTAGTAATAAAAAAGTTTTTATAAGTAGGCAAAGGATTAAATGGGTAGAAAACCTAAAGAGATTGGATAACACATGAGACACTAAAAGGATCTTCCAAGCCATCTGGTATCCGAAAAAAAAGGAAAACTTAGGTGGATTGACTGTCTGGNTCTTTTTTTTTTTCTTTCCTCCAAGCCCTGGGCATGTACCTAGGTTATAAAAAACCCTTAACCATATAGCCCAAGACTTGGTCACTAATCCAGCTCCACTCCGCCCATAAAACATGATATTTAAATTTTTTTATTTTTACTGAAAGTGTGGAATTTAAGAAGAAATAAGACAAAAATATATATATATACATGTGAGAGGGGAAATTATTAAAAAGAAATGAATGAAATAAATTAATAAGAAAGAAAGAGAAAAAAAAAAGTATAGCGTAAAAAAAAAACTAATCGAGATGAAAGTATTACTAGATATAGAGAAATCTTAATAAATAAATATATATATGTCTTTTTAGTAGGGATGTTTATAGACTTGATTGGATTGACGTAGCTCTTTTAGTTTGTGCAAGTAAGTTGGGCAGGAAGGTGAGGAGGCTCTGTGATTACAGTCCAGATTTAAATTAGAGTCTTGGTTGGATGAGTGACAGTTCATGCAGAATTCTTCTTTTTCTGTGCAATTTTCGATACTATGACCGTTGTATCCGCACTTCTCACAATAACAGTATGACTCAGTACATGTGTTTTGGTGATGACCTATTGTCTGGCATTTTCTGCACCTTAATAAAACCAGTCTTTTTTTAATTGTGCAACGTTGTAGACCAGCGTAGAAATAATTAAGATTCAAAAGCTTGATGGAGAGTTTTCTGTTGACTCTTATGATGATGTGTCTCTTAGAATTATCTCTTTTATGTGGGATTTCTTTGGTCAGTTTGATGATATCATAGGCAGGGTTGAAATTGCCATTGATTTTTATCAAGTTAATAATCTCAGTTTCTGTGAATGTGACAGGTGTGTTAAGAAGAATTAGAGAGAACAACTTTACGTCTTTGTCGTGATATTGGATGCCTGTCTTTTGTAAGGTTGAGAGGACCGTTTCTTTATGTTGATTGTTATGAAACTTTAGTTCTAGCATCTTGCTGTTTCTATAGACTTTTTTCACGGGCAGTTTAGGTTCTTCCTGAATCAGCCTTTCCACAATATCAGTTGTGGAGCAGTCTTCTTGTGGTTTTACTATTACTGGTTTTGGTGGTATTGTTACTGGTGGAACACCTACATTGATAGAGGTGGTATTTTCTAATTTTCCGAGTCTTGCGTTGATGGTTGTCTGGAGAAAAAACCTCAGAGCTATTGTGATAAAAACAAGATAACTTTAGCCCAAAACAGGACGGTATAGAAGGGAATTCTGATGTAGGCCAAGGCCCAACTGTGGCTGTTGTGCAAATGAAAAAGAAGAAAAGTTTAATTATTCTTAATATTATTAACTATACTATTACATATTATTCTTAATATGTAATGGTATGAAGAACATATATTCTGCAGACTAAATTTCAGTAATTAAAAAAACTTTCACTGAACAAAAACTAATTTCACAAAAATTTCTAAATTATTAATTTATCTTGAATCTTCAAATCTGTACATTGTTGGCAAGAATTTGTCTTTGAAGAATACTTAGGAGTTTTCCATGCAAAACTTTTAAAAAAAAGTCAAAAAAGGATTACCTGTATGTTTGAAAACAAACCTTATTAAAATAAAGAATTGTTGTTAATCTAATGTTACAAAATAAAGAACAAAGTTTATTGAAATTTAACGAATCCCTTAAAATAGCATGAAGCTTCAGGTAATAAGTATTTTTTCTCATAAAAAAATGCCAATGTTGAAGTAAGGTATAGAATGGATGAGTGTTAATCTTTGCATTAATTCACAATGATAGTGATAGTCTGTTTGAAATATATAAGGTAAAGTTTAATAATTTTTGCAGAAAATTATAGAATGGGGGGGGGATTATTATAACTAGGGCAAGTTAATTCACACAAATACACTTAGTTAGAGCCTATTTTACACAAGATAAAATTATGTAATTACTTCAAGTAAATAGTAATTAGTATGAAAATACTACATTTTAACATAATTGGTATACCGACACAATATTACAATATGCAGCAAAACAATACACATAAATATAACAATACACAAAATATTAGACTTAGTGATGCTTTAACATTTTGTTTTTCTACAAATACTTAATGATTCGAGCATGTAAATAGTGATTATTTGGAACAGAATATAGAGACGTTCGAAAAGAAATATTTGAAAATAAATTAAATGATCATGATGTTTCGGAGTAATAATGAAATTAATATATTCTAATATTACCATGGTGATTGAAGAAATGAACTCAGTAAAAATTGATCAGTTGTATAATTAGAATGAAAAATTAAATGATCAATAATCGAATTCAGTTTCTAAAGATGATTTGTTTACATTTCGTTTTGTTGATGTGTTTTATGAAAAGCGGTCAAAGTTACGACGGAAACAAATGGTAACGGTAAGAATGCGGGTAGGTTACCACTTGGATCAGTCTGCGTAGGGACCAAGAGTGTGAGGTATTGATCCTCGCTGAACTGTTCTACAGTAAAGTGCAGGTCGTCGGGCTACCGAAGCGGGGGTGCTATCCCCTCTGCAGAGGATCAAAATTGTGATGGCATGTCTTCGGATCATCCTCAGGAGTGTTTCCCAGACCGTCGCCAATAGCCCATCGTGCAGCTCTAGTGCGACGTAAATTAACAACAACAACAGCATGTAT